AATGAAATAAAAAATACACTTTCCTTAAATCATAGTTTCTGTTTGATTTTGCACGGGGCTGCGCATAACGCGCAACGGTCTGGGCTCTCCAAAACTCTACAGCAGGTGTCAGGGTCGGAGCCCCTTATTATATGATTTCTGTCTATCTAAATGAATGGTTATTTTTTAATATCAAATAAATGTAAGCACCTTAGACAGCATAGTAAATGACACGGTTGATTAGCAAGAAATAATAGGGATCAGGAAACTGCTTTATTGTTGTTGTTATTATTGTTATTATCATTATTATTATTATTATATAATTAGCATTATATTTTTTATTAGCATTAGATGATTAGCATTATTATTGTTATTGTTATTATTATTGTTTTTTCTTCTTCTTCTTCTTCTTCTTCTTCTTCTTCTCCTTCTTCTTCTTCTTCTTCTTCTTCTTCTCCTTCTCCTTCTTCTTCTTCTGATTATTATTATTGTTACTTTTTTGTTATGATTATGATTATTATAATTATGATTTATTATTATATTATCAGGATGATAATGATCAGTATTTGGCGTTATACATCGTTACAATGTAATAATAGCTCTACATTTAATCCTTTCAGAATTTCCAGCAGCTACCCCAGACAAGTCTATCAGCGCTCACTCCCTTTTAATATTCCTAATTTATTGAGACGAGGCGTTGAGTTCAATAGCTGTGCCTTCCTAAATTCAAGACATAAAAATAAATAAGCCATTGGAGATGAATTTGGAGATCCCACAGTGGAACAGACGTGCCAGCTAATTCACCATACCAAACAATAAATAAAAATACATCTGCTGTACTAAAAAAAAAAATAGAAAAGGAGAAAAAGAAAAAAAAAAGAAGCTGGTTATTTTTTTTAAATTGCATAGGACCTAAAGATTTCTCTTGTTCTTTTTAACTCTGAAAATGAGAGGTGAGCTTTTGAGGTGCGTTAAAAGCGCTTTGGAGCGCATCACTGACCTAAACATTAAAACGCTTTTTTTCACACCACTCACCTCCCATAGATTATATTATCACCTCCACAGTTTATATTTTTTGACTGAGCCTAGTTAAATAATAGCTGTTTTTATGTAATTTTTATTTTCTGTTCATCCCACAAAAAAATAAAACTTCTCTTAAAACGCAGAGGAAAAAATGACAACTGGCGCAAGGATGACTTTCTTTTTTTGTCTTCTCTCTCCAGCTTGTGTTTTATGTACACACTTAAAATGTGTACGTGTGTATGTGTGTGCAGTTGTCTACAATCCTCGTCCTATTACTCCCAACAGTTCTAGGAAATACCGGAGCCAGATTGTGTCCAAACGTTTAAAAAAAAAAGGCATCCAGCCCTGGTGGCACGCACCGACCCTTGTGGTGGCAGTAAAAAAAAAAATGCCATCAATTCAGCTTGATAGAAAGAAAAACTCTTGAAATAATTGGAGCGTGTGTGTTAAATGTTTTGAAATGAAACAAACAGACAAAAAAAAATCAAAGTTTATTTGCAGCCAGTTTGAAATGAAAACCTTGGCATGTGACCTAAATGGAAAAATAAACATTTCGAGTCAAAACTATGTTGCTTGTGTGTGTGCTCACAACACTGGGATGCGTCCGTTTGTTTGCAATGGCAACTTTTCTAGAAGTCAGAGGGAGCTCATTAAATTGTTTCAATCCCAAACAAGCGTCAGATGGAACCGAGAGATTCCCATGTTACCAAATCAGAAGAAAATAACTTCTTTATTTGGGGTTTGTGTCTTCTTGACTCAGCCAGTCCTCACTAGAAGAGCTGGGGATGGTGGCTGCGCCTTTGTGTCCTGTCCCCTAGTACATTGCAATTGTTGTTACTTTAGCGCAGCGCTAAGACGATCCAAAGGCGGTTTTGTTGCTTCAAACCGGTTCCAGAAGTGAATGCAGAACAATACAATCTACCAATTTGCAGATAAACTGCACGGTGTATTTATCTACAAATAGCTGTCATTCGTGCAGGTGTGCCCTGTGCTACATGAAAGCTGTGTCTGTGCCACAAATAGGACAGCAAATGTATAAAAAAAATAAAACACAAATGACAGCTGATACCCACAGGATCCATCCTTCATCTTCCGAATCAAACTGGTTGCTACAGGTAACAACTCTTCTTTAGTTTTGGCTTCTGTCCTCACCAGCTGCTCTGCCCCTGAGAGATGCCAGCGCAGCGCTAAATCTATATTACTGCCTGCTTTTTTTTATATATATGTTTCAGGATCAGAAATTCAGGTGATGGAAAAGCTGAGAAAATTTACATTTTAGGATCTTAAAATTATTCCTGGTTACCTGGGCGATGCTGGGAGATTTGAATACAGGATCCCATTGATGGGGGAGCAATGTGTTGGAACAATCACATATATAGAGGAGCAATGTACTGGGCTATAGAATCAGAGGAGAGCAATGTATTTGGATACATATAGAGGAGCAATGTACTGGGATCCATAGAGGAGCAATGTACTGGGATACATATAGAGGAACAATGTATTGGGATATATATATATATATATAGAGAGAGAGAGAGAGAGAGAGAGAGAGAGAGAGAGAGAATGGTACATGGTACATGGTACATATAGAGGTGCAATGTATTGGTGTATATACAGATGGTACATATAGAGGAGCAATGTATTGGGGTATATATAGAGGATACATATAGAGGAGCAAGGTATTGAGCTACATATAGAGGAACAATGTATTGGGATATATATAGAGGGTACATATAGAGGAGCAAGGTATTGTACAGAATCATAGAGGGTCAATGTATATGGATACAGAATTACATTTATACAGGAGCAATGTATTGGGATACAGAATCCGACCTATAAATGAGCCTTATTGGGATACAGAATCATAGAGGAGCCTTGTATTGGGATACAGAATCATAGAGGAGCCTTGTATTGGGATACAGAATCATAGAGGAGCAATGTATTGGGATACAGAATCATAGAGGAGCAATGTATTGGGATACAGAATCATAGAGGAGCAATGTATTGGGATACAGAATCATAGAGGAGCAATGTATTGGGATACAGAATAATAGAGGAGCAATGTATTGGGATACAGAGAGGAGTCTTGTATTGGGATACAGAATCATAGAGGAGCCTTGTATTGGGATACAGAACCATAGAGGAGCCTTGTATTGGGATACAGAACCATAGAGGAGCTTTGTATTTGGATACAGAATCAAAGAGGAGCAATGTATTGGTATACAGAATAATAGAGGAGCAATGTATTGGGATACAGAATAATAGAGGAGCCTTGTATTGGGATACAGAATAATAGAGGAGCCTTGTATTGGGATACAGAATCACAGAGGAGCAATGTATTGGGATACAGAATCACAGAGGAGCCTTGTATTGGGATACAGAATCATAGAGGAGCAATGTATTGGGATAGGGAATCCGATTTTTAGAGGGGCCTTGTATTGGGATACAGAATCATAGAGGAGCAATGTATTGGGAATCCGATTTTTAGAGGGGCAATGTACCAGGACATAGAATCCCATTCATACATTGGGGGTGCAGGCTTTGGTATTAAATTGTGCTCTATCTTGGCTGCGTTATGCTGTACATTAATACCTTTTCTATATTAATGACCCAGCAATTAGGTGGTGGAGTGTCATGATTAAATGTGAGTGGGCTTTTTATGCAATAGTGCGGATTGGGAGATAGACATGGATGAGGGATATTCAGGATACAAAAAGCCTAAAAAAGGATTTTTGTTTTGTTATTTCCAGATGAAAGGCTGAAGTCAGGAGCCCAGATTATACCACCTGTGAAATGTCCGAGGTAAATACACAGCCCCTGAATAAGCAAATGAAACTATTAAAGGGGATAAAGGGAAGTAGAAAATAAAGATCTTTGTGTCCTGAGCGCTGAGCCACAAGTGCGCTCCTGTGTATTACAACTGACAGCTGCCCTCTTCTAGAGAAATGCAATTACAGAGCTGGAATAAGGACTCTTCTTCCTCATCTCTTGCCTGGATCTGGGGCTAGATGGAGGGGGCTGTGTCCCCCCTACCCCCCCCCCTGGGCATCCCTATTCAGATTTTGGACTGGCACAAGTGAGGCTGGCATGGCGCAATCAGAAGGTGGCACAGATTGTGGCACAGGGTCCAGGCTGCATGTTTGGCACATATAACCATACTATATTCTCTGATATAGCCCACCTTGCTTATTGGATTAAGCAGGTGCCGGAGTTGCTATGTGCCATCCTTACCACCTTACCCGGGATTTTGACTGCCACTCATTCATCTGCGTCATGGTATGGTGCATTGCCCCTTGGAACAGAGAGTGACACAGGACGCAGGGTGATTTTGGATGGCACAAATCCAAGTTAGGGCATGAAGTCCAGAGTCAATGGCTAACGTACTATAAAGTTATAAGAACAAAGGGTCAGGGCTACTAAATCTCAGGGGGGATGGTTAAATAGTGCTAGAAATGCAGTGGTGCCATAGTGCAGCAGCGACCTGTGCCAAGAAAATCCAAGAAGAGTACAATAGGGAGGTAGCTTTGTACTGAAAGGAAGGTCACCATGGTCAGTGCAGCGATACTGACCCTGGCATTCAGTTGGCAGCCCTTAGCACAGTGCAGGTTGTATTTCTCTCTAGCTGGGCGCCCATTACAGCCGCCTTCTGCCCCTACCCTCAGTGGCTGGGCACCTGGCTCTCTCAGCCACTTTGATTAGGGCAATCCAGTAAATCGGTCCGGTTTCCCCTCCCAATCTACTTATAAGTCCCCGGCCACTTGTGATGATTCCTGAGGTTGGATTCTCAATCTGTGCGTTTGTTTCCAATTAAGAGATGGAGCCTCTGCCCATGCCCAGTGTTTTGAATCAAGCTGAGCAGATCTCGCTTCGCCTGTTTGTATTAACAACACACATGTATTTCTTTTATTTGATAGTAAATACTCCGCGTCTTTGTATAGCAAACACGGCAGAAATATATAAACTTCCAGACAAGCACTTGTGTTCTGTACTCAGCCAGGAGACCGCATGCTTCTGCCAACAGGCTGCTCAGCTAACCTTCAGCCAGCCTCACCCTCCCGCACTGCTTGGGCTCACCCTCACCTGGACAGGTCAGTGACAGCATGGGGCATACTAACAGGAGGTTGGGGGGAATTGGTGTGTGTGTGTGTGCATGTGTGAACCCTCTCTCCTACTACTGACACTACAATGACCAGGAAGGGTGCTCCAGAAGTGGCTAGTGATGGACTGTTCCATGGAGAACTAATAGATGATAATGCTCATAGCAGATTTATGAGGTGCTTTGTACGTTTTATGAGATCGCCTTACAGCAAACATTATAATTGCAATGGAAAACCAATACATGAGAGTCACATAGCCTACAGAGGGTCTTCTACTCCTAATAGGGGCTTAACTCTAATATCTATCTATCTATCTATCTATCTATCTATCTATCTATCTATCTATCTATCTATCTATCTTTCTATCTATCTATCTATCTATCTATCTATCTATCTATCTATCTATCTATCTATCAATCTATCTATTTAGCTATCTAGCTATCAATCTATATATCATATAGAGATGGGTGGACAGACCGACAGATACAACATAGGTAAAAATCGTTTTTTATTGGTTATAGCTGAGTAGATAGATATATAGATAGATAGATAGATAGATAGATAGATAGATAGATAGATAGATAGACAGACAGACAGACAGACAGATAGATAGATAGAGTTCTGCACATTTATAGCTATAATATGTGTTATATATATTAGAGTGAGGCAACTGCATGGGCCCATGAAGTCTAGTTATCTTTGGCAAGAGCTCCTGGGTCCATGAGGTCAGGATGCCAAGACAGGGCTACCCTTTTCAAGTTATAATTTCTATTGAATACACCAGCAAGTCTTTTCTCTTCATGTTTCTTTTTACCTCCTATTTTCTGCTGTTTGAGCTTTTAATAGTCTTATAAAGATCGAAAAAGGTGACAACTGTGTGGAAACCAATGAAATCTGAGGATTAGCCTTTCCCTTGATGCCATTTGGGGGTGATATAACAGCGTTGCACCATTATGTTTCCTCATATTCACTAATTTCATTCCACAACTATGTACCAGTTATATATATATATATTTATATATTTATTTTAGAAAAATGATTATACCTCTAATATTTGCTGAGGCTGTTCCACCTTTGCTAGAGCTAATCAGATCAGGAATTTAAACATCAACTTGGAAAAACAAGAAGATAAACCCCACCAGTGTAATTACAGACAACACTTCCACTCTTAAATCTTCTTCAGTAACGAATTTAATCCACGTCAGATTTTTTGTTTATGTCTAAACAAAGGGGGGCATTGGTCTCTCTCTTACCCTCATTGAGTATTGGGCTCAGCAGACAGTGTCCTGATCTTGCAATGGGAAATGCCCCCCCCTTCTTGTGAGGATGGCTATGACGAGGCAGGGGGCAGATATGACCCTCTCAGCAGCTTTGCATATGCTAAACCTGGCCTCGATCAGCCCCGTCCAGCCGACTATCAAGCCAGAGTGTCGCAGCGAATAATCACTTTAGTCTATCGACTCGGAAGAGTGTGCGAAGCGAATGAGCAGCCCATTAAGAAACATTAACAGATTGCTGCAGCATAATGCTCCGGTCCATATTGATCGTCAAATGTCTGTAAAATATTGTTTCAAATGAATTGTTCCATGCTATGCTGTCACTTATAGTGACCTTGGTTTGTTCTCCAGCAGCCAAATGAGCCTTTCATGGCTGTTATTAGATTAACAAGTTTTAACAAACAGCACTGCAGGCTAGGAGGCTTTGTGAATTAGGGTCACAATTCAGGAACAGGGGGGCGTATTCATCTGGGTTATGTTTTCAGGATTTCGACAATCACCCCCTCCCTCCCATGCAGCACTTAGTTAAATGTTCCCTGTAATATTATGCACCCCCCCTCCCTAACTCATCCTTTGTGACCTTCCCATCAAGCAGCAAACGTTTCAATTCCAGGGTAAAATATTCCACTGTGGAGGGGGGATCCTAGAACACCTGCACTGATCTAAGACACCATCAAATACCATTTCAATGAAAGGTCAGCCCACCAAAACCTCATATTTCAGTTGTAGGTGGAGACAGATGGGTTCTGTCACCCATGGACTCTTCATATCTCTTAGGGGATCGCCATTGCAGATTATGAGGCTCTTTTTCCCCATGCCAAAAAGTTAAATGAGTTGATTTACTAAAGGAATAGAGACTGTTCACTTACCGTCACCCTTGCAAAGTGAATAAGATGTGTTCACTTTGAACACAAGGTCATGTGCAAGGGGGCATTTACTAAGGGAATAGAGACTGTCAGTGGGGAAGCTAGACATTCTGTCAACCGGGGGCAAAGACCAGAGTTGGTCCCCCCACCCCCCCAAGGGAGATGTTCCCAAACACATGGCAAATCCCCTTCTAAAGCAAC